GTCCAAGTTCTAGTCCCGAGAAATGTGTAGTCAATCGACTTGCAGCTTTTATGGAATAGCTGCAACTTGATTGGCTACACATTTCTCGAAACTAGAGCTTGGACCAAGTTCTAGCATCGTGGACACACGCCTTTAAAAACATACAATGCTCAACTACAAATTGCGCGCGCGAAGCGCGCGTTTTGTCGTTTCTAGTGTTTGAAAAAAGAAATGATAAAAATGTAAAAGCACAATTATTGCGAAGAATTTGCGAAGAAAAGGGGTTGTGAATGGTTTCTACAAGTTGGGTTGTTCGCTCGCATATAGAAAAATCAGTAACTCTGTTTTTATCGACATTTCATGCATGTAGCACGGAACACAACCAAAACGTGCACATCTGCGTTATCCGCTTGGCCCAAGCGTGGACATTGGCTACGTAGTTCATGTCCACGTTTTCAATGTCCACAGAGGGCGTGTCGCGTTCGAGGGTCGCGTAAAACCGGGCCGTGGCAGTTCTCACTAGGCTTCTCCCTGGCAATATAAACAGAGGAGCGAACTGTGTATCTCGGACGAGTTCTGTCTCAATCTTCGAGGTGAGAACCGGAGTGTCGTAAGAACAGGAAGATAGAAGTTCGGTCGACCGCACGTCAAAGACCGACCGCCGTTCGCGAGTCAGTCTTAAAGATATAAATTTCGGAGCTTAATCGCCCGCGCGGACACCGCTAGAGCCTCAGGATGTCGGAGCGCAAAGTCTTGAACGTAAGTACGAGACGAGGGATCGCTCGTCACAGAATGTGTCCGCGTCTGTATCCTTTAATAATCCTCGCCCGTTGCACTTCTAGAAATACTATCCGCCGGATTTCGACCCGTCGAAGATCCCGCGCATGAAACTGGCGAGAAATCGCCAGTACACCGTGCGACTGATGGCGCCGTTCAACATGCGCTGCAAGACATGCGGTGAATATATCTACAAGGGCAAGAAATTTAATGCGCGTAAGGAGGACGTCGAGGGCGACGATTATCTCGGCATACGCATTTACAGGTTCTACATTAAGTGCACTCGCTGCCTGCAAGAGATATCGTTCAAGACCGATCCGAAGAATACGGATTACGAGATCGAGGCGGGCGCCACGAGAAATTTTATGGCGCTGAAACTGGCCGAGGAGCAGGCGCAGCGGGAGGAGGACGAGGAGAAGGAAGAGGAGGCCACCAATCCGATGAAGCTCCTGGAGAAGAGAACGCAACAGTCGAAGCAGGAGCTGGAGCTGTTGGAATCTTTGGAAGACCTGAAGGACCTGAACCGAAGGCAGCAGACCATAGATTACGACCAGATGCTGGAGCAATATGACACGGAGTCCGCTAGACAGAGGACGGAAAAGGAGCAAGAAGAATTGGACGAGCAGTACATTAAATCTGTATTTGGCAAGAGACAACTGAGCAGAACTGTAGTGGAAGAGGAAATCGAGGAGCTGGAAGAGGCAGAAGAAGAGGGAAGGCTTCAACCTCCTGCAAAAATGCTTAAGACAGACGAAGCAGGCGACAAAGAAACGGTAGGGTTTTTAATGTTGTATTTAATTTATCGACTTTAGTGCGAGAAAAATTTAATCGGAAGCGTAAAAGCTGACGATAATTATTGATTATTTTCAGGAAAATTCTGATCAATCCTCAAAACTTGTTAAAGCATCATTATGGTCGGACAGTACGGGACTGTCATCTGTTAAAAAGAATTCGTCTAGTTTGATCAAGAAGAGCAATATTGGTATCAAGATAAACGCAAAGTCGCAAAGTAAAACGACCGAAAGTGCTGATTCTTCCGACAAGAAGACTGTTTCGCAGTTGGACGAGACACCCGACACCTCGACGAGCACGTCGAGTACAGTAAATACAGGCGCCAAATCAGATAATGTTGGCAACAGTCTCTCGTTGTTAGGTGCCTATTCGGACAGCAGCGAAAACGACAGCGATTAATTGGAGGGATAAATGAATATATTTTTTGTGTAAATATTTTTATTCAATAGAGTATATGCTGTTATACAAAGTAAACGGGATCTACAAAAACGCGTTTGTATAAACACGTTATTTGTCTCAAAATATGTGATACATGAATCACGTACAATTTTAGGCTTTGTAGATATAACTTTCGGTCTGTATACACAGGCGAATTGAAGATATTGGACGTGCACATGTAAGTAATTTCTTGTTAAATCCGATACAACCGCAGGTTGATACTTGTAAGCTGTGCCGACGATTACAGAGTTTCTTACAGGATGCCGAAGGCTCTACTCCTAAAACATAAAAGGATACATTATCAGAAGCGTAGAAACATTGGAATACGATCTGTTTGCAAGGCTAGGCACTCTGTAAGAAATTCTGTCGTCGAGTTACATTAGTGCTGATACAATGTAGCAGGGAGTACCTAGCCTACCAAAACAGGCCACATAATCAACACATTTGAGACAAGAAAGAACTCTGAAAGACTTTTAAAAAGTGACGTTACAATGAAAAGAGATATACAAGTAAAAATTCGTCTAAAAATCTGTCTCGAGTGTGTGCTAATGGCGTCCACTTACTTATATCCGTAATAACAACGATTAATTGCCTAAAAATAACAGGTATTTGAGAATATTGTGAAATACTGATGTTATCTTAACTTATTGAATTAAGGAATAAAAAAATGATTGCCATGCAAAAGTGATCGTAAAATTTGGAGGCAAATTTGGGGGCGTACCAAGCGCACTTCAAAACATACATGGTGTACTTAATTATCGTATGTTCTTTTAAGAATACTTTTTTATTCACATCGATAACAACTGTCGCTCAGGATGAAGTGATTAGTTATAATATGGATGCGATAAGCCTCGTTGTAATGCATGAGCTATATGAGAAATAATGATATTACGTCGCGCGAATAATCGGATTACACCGTCGAGGACAGGCGTCGAGAAGAGACCGCCTTGGCAGGCGACCGCGATATTGACAATAATGTTGTTTGCGACAACGATGTGATTCTCTGTTACAATCCTTCGCATTATCACGAACCACAATAGGATTAACGATCTCGTCGAGACAATCCGCGTCTTCCTCAGAGCTGAGCTCGCCGTGAAATTTGTTTAAGCGACTCGTCGGCTCGCCGAAGGCTCCCAAAGTCGAGGAATCCACCAGCCAACCGTAAAGAGATCCCTGAACGCGACGATTTCCAACGTGATGGATTACGTCATCCCTGAAATTCTCGTTAACTTTCCGCCGACATCGCTCGCAAACGAAAGCCTCTTCCTTATCGGAAGAGATGCGACACCAGTCGTTAGGATGAAACTTTCTCGGCGGTGGATCCGAACTCTTCGTGGGTGGAACGTGACGCGAGAAATATCGATATGGCGCGGATGCCTCTAGTAACGCTCGTCTCGACTCGTAAGATAAAGCGCGCGACAATCTGTCGTTGGCGATGCTCGATCGAGGCTTACGCAAATACTTTCTCACGACATACCGGTTGCTGTCGTTTTTACTTTTCTCCCGCAAGCTCACTTCCAGTTGCGCAATGCGATGCTCGAGCCGCGTGCGTTGTGCCTGTGCGCGATCCTGCTGATCCTCCAGCAGCTTCACCAGCTTTTCCAGTCGCATCACTTGCATCTGCTTGCCCTCGAGCGTGGTGTACAATTCCTGGATTGCCTCCGTCTTCGACGCAATCTGCTTGTTGATCTGAACACAATGAGAATTGAAAAAAAAAGAATGTTAGAATCTCCAATAGAATTAAATCGTTGCAGCCAAATCCCGAGAGATATGATCTACAGAAAACAATGCCTGAAAGCATCGGATATATTACTATCTTAATTTTTTCTCTCTCTGGATTAAGAACGGATTAAAAGGATTTAATGTAATATCTGAGAAAATTAGAAAGAAGACTGTAGAGAACGTCGCACGTTACTTCATGGATATCCTCCTCGTAGTTTTCATTAGGATTCGCCGCGTTTGCCTGCTTCCCTTTAAGGAGACTTAGCAGCTCGTCCCGGACTTTGAGAAATTTGCTTTGCTCGCGCATCACTCGATCGCGCTGCTCCACTTCTAGCTGCTTCTGCGTCAGGGCGGTCTCTAACTCCTGGTTCTGCTGAATAGTCTCGGCCAGGCTGTTACGCAGGTCGCTAATCTGCTGCTGAAGCTCCGTGGTATCAAGTCCCTTGCCGTTTTCTTTTGATCTCGCCTGAAGACGATGCTGAATCTCGGATAACTGGTTCTCCAGTACGTCATTTCTCTCTTGCCTGGAAATAATTAATTGAGAGTCTAAATTCAAAACTAATAAGCTTCGCAAAAGCAACGATCCAAACCGAATTAAGCAAATCTTTGATCCAGAAATGTGCGAAATGACGATTTAGCTTCTATACTAATACACAGTACAGAACAGAAAGAATTATTTCAATTGTTGATATAATACATATAAATGTGCTACGAGATCTTGTTCGATTGTATTTGACATGGAAATATTAACTTTTTCCTCTGCATATTTTTGAATAGCATTAAAGTATCTAGTATAGCAGACATTGACAGGATAATATTCTGAGATATTGAAACTTACGCGAATCTAGCAATCTTTTGAAGCCGAGCGTGTTCTAACATCAAATTCTGAAGATCATTAGTCTTGGCTACGAGTTCGGCAGCCAGCCTATCCTTCGTCTCGTCTTCATTATCGTGGCTCTATGGGCGAAAGCAAAGATTGAATAATAGAACTAGTTTTGAGAACGGCTTGTCGGAGATGAAAATCACGGTCTAACGAGCGAGGGGAAGCGAATCGAACGGTTTTTAATTAGTTGCTATACGAGCAGGGATTCCGAAAGTAGTGCAAACTAACGGCCGCCTGATGCATCACAGCGACAATCTCTTGCTTCTCCCTTTCTAGCTGCTTGATCTTTTCCCTCTGTCGCTCTAGCTCGGCTCGGGCCGTCATCAGATCGTTATACAAGCAAATCTCGTTCTCCGTGTGATTATTATCTAAAGACCGATAATCGGAATGAAAGCTTTCACCAGCGGATATATATATAATACTTTGTATTAATACTTCGTTTAAAATGTAAATGAGAAATTTTCTCGGTACTTTGAAATTGCTGAGCTTACCTACCCGTGACAGTAATATTGTTGCTCTTCTCACTCGCGAGGTCGCAGAGCAGCTGGCTCTTCTCTTCGAGATGTTTACAACGTCCTTCCATTTCAATTAGAGCACTTTCGGCTTGTTGCCTGCATATAAATTTAATATTAGAATTAATTACGGTAAATGTTTTTTTTTTAGAAAACCTCCCACATTTAATCTAAAAACGGAGGTAGATAATGTAAGATGTACAGTTCTTATTATTCACGTGCATGAAACGTGTTAAAATGAAATAATATAATAACAGTTATTTTTCTTCAAAGATGGCACGGAAAGACGGAATTATAGCTCACCTCTTGTCTTTCTCTTCGGTGAACTCCGCGTTCGTCGTTTCAAATTTTACCGATAACTCCTTAATGGTAGCATTTGCTTCCGCTTCCTTGCGAGCCATCTTTTCTTTGAGCTCCAACATTCTAAAATAGGCAACTTTAAGAAAATACAGAATAAAAGGGATCGATCTTGCCCTTATCCAAGCAACCCCACTATCTAGCTAAAGATGCAAATAATTTTCAAAACTTTTTAATTTTATTAAAAAAAAAGCTTTCCTTCTTTATTCTTTACTTTTATCCTTCTCATCCTTTATTTAATCTTAAAATTAACATTATGCTTTTTTTCTTAAAGGTTGAGATGAATAAGGGCCGAGAATTCGGCGGGATTAAAAGGACAACCGTGACTCGAGGCTGTCGCGCTGCTTCTCCATCTTCGTCACGAGGCCCTCGCTGCTCTTCATCGCCTTGTGCATATCCTTCAACCTCAGCTCCATCGCCTGATCCTTTTGCTTCAACTGAGCCTCCAGTGACTTCACGCTGTTCTCCAGCTGCTGCGATTTCACCTCCTCGTTAGCCACATGCCCCTCCAGCTCGCGAACCTTCGCCCGCGCCTTTTGCGTCTGTAGCTCCAGCATTCTCGTCCTTTCCTTGCCTTGACTTGCCTTGTCACGCTCCGCTTTGAGCTCCTCCAGAGCGACGCTCAGCTGCGCCTGCAGCAGGTCCCCGCGATCGACATTCGGCCTCTCTTCCTTCACGCGCTCGCGATAATTGTTGTATTCGCAACGCAGACTCGAGGATCTCAACGCGAATTCGGCGACAAAGTCCGTCTGGGCCGTTCTCAGATCATCCAGCTGCGTTCTCATCTCCTCATTGTCTCGCGTGAATTTCGCCTGCTGCGCCTCCACCGCTGAATAATCCGCCGGGATCAACACGTTGCCCGTCTCGTCCTGTCGACTCGATTCTGTCAGCCAGAACTTGACGAGGGATGCGAACGACGAGCTCTTGTCCAGGGTGCGTTGGCAGATCTCTTGGGAGCGGTCGCAGATATTCCGCAGCTCATTTTGCAACAGCGACACACCGATTACTACCGACTCGTCCATGCAGATTGGCTCCCGCTGCTCGGGAGCATCGCATCGCGAGCTTGTCTCGATCGGCGTCGGCGGGCTTTGCTTGGGGCACTCAACTTGTAGTGATCTCAGCTCCTCGATCTTGCCGGGATCCTTGCCGCCGGCCGCGATTATCTTCTCCCGCAGACTCGATATCTCGTCGTGCATATCTTGCGCCATTTTCTGCGGACGCGCAACAGAGCAGAATGTCACAAAAGAATGTTAAACGATTCCCTTAGTAGCACAATATATTGGCGCAATATTGAGAAATGATGTAAATCCAGTATTTCCAATATTGTAAGGTGGACGTTTTCTTTTATTTAGCCAAATATGTCTATTTAGCAGTATAGGTCTAATATTGTATCAATAGTCTTATTACATTGCTAAATACTGGCCAATGCATTTCCAATATGAATCTAATATTATATAATTATTGTCGTGCAACATTTACGTTTATTCCACGGCCAATATTGGTTTTACATTGGACGATATCGGCCAATACACTGTGCTGCTAGGGTATTTATAGGCTGCTTTCCTTTTAGAGAACACAGTCGATATTTTTCACACAAATCGACACATGTCGCTTCCCATTTAAAACTTAATTCAAACTCAATCGACACTATTCGACTCTGCTCGGCAGGACAGTGTTTTTAACCGAAGCGAACCGCTCCGAGCATTTCGATAGAATCTTTTTTTTTTCGATAAAACCTTTTCTTAAAATCTTGTTTTTGAAATCTTTGCCATTTCACAGTGGCAAACTGTGCTCGAGTGTGTTAACTCGTGTCGATTTGTGTCTCCTAAAAAGTAAGGAGCCATAATTCGTGCTATTTTTATCTAGAAATTTGTCCAATCTCTAATCTTTGACGTTCGAAAAGGATCGCCGAAAAATTACTGTACTATCTTCTAATTATTTACGACGACTCGCTACTAGGGAGAATCGATGTCGCTCGACAGTTACTTGCTTATCGACGAGCGTCTTTTTCAAATTCGTGTAGCGCATTCTTTTAGAAGTGTATTGTATTTCCAGCTGACGCTTCTCCACGGGGACCGCGTTCGTCGGCTTTCTAGACGGCAATACACTCAGGGTCTTCATGCTTGGTCGACGAGCGGCGTTGTTGTTGGAGCTAATCCCGCTGGAAGTCTCCACGTACGTTGGATGACTCGTCGAGTCGCCCTGTGAGGAGATTAAAAGTCACGACAGGCAATGAACAAGAATCGAAGACGTCTCATCAATTACTACGAATAATTGTTTTGAATTAAGATTGATCATCGGGAATATTGACGACTGATATATCGCAGCTGATTAGATGGCAGGTGAGACCGTTGAGCATAAATCTTTCTTTATTATAACAAAAGCTATTTAGCAGTGTACTGTGCTAGGTAATTAACGTACCTGCATGCCATTTCGTCCGAAATGGGTCGTTGGAATTCTACTTTTGATTTTATTTCCGGTGCTCAACGTTGATTTCTTTGAACTATTTGATGATGGACGGTCTTCCGTTTTGTCTAAAAGGACACGTCGCAAATTAATATACGCTCTTTTCGCTAAAACAATTATGAATTTTATGTAATAATACGGCAAATATTTGTGCTCTTTTTAGCTATATTCTACTACTGTTTAAATGTCTCTTGTTTTCTCTTATTCTTTCATACACACGGAGAGAATTTTTCTTGGACAACGTGGCATTTCGAAAAACTTTATGAGAGTTTTTTGAAATTTTACCATACATTTTACTGGTAATTCTACTTAGTTAGTATACCTTTTACAAGTAGAATGTATGATACAATTTCAAAAAACTTTTATTAAGTTCCAAAGAATTTAAAGGACTCAGAGCCGTGACAGGATGGTAGTGTCTAAATATTCTATTCTAAATTTATTGCGAAAAAATATCACCTCGGCCAGGGTATATATTTTTTCGCAATAAATTTAGAATAGAATATTTAGACACTACCATCCTGTCACGGCTCTGAGTCCTTTAAATTCTTTGAAATTTGTGTTTAACACATACGAGCCTTATTAATTTATTTTATAAAGTTCTTGGACACGCCACGTTGTCCCACGATCACATGATTTTCAGAATAAATGTTAAGAAAAAACTCTCTCCGTGTAGTGAATATATATTTCTTTTCTTTCAAAATATAGGTGAGACGTGTAAGAAGATACACATAAAAGTATTGTATACATGTATAAATGCAACGCAGTGCACCCCGTTATTAAGCTTTGACAGTCAAAATTACTTTGACATAACCTTTGTACAATATTTTAATGCAATTATTTCAGAGCGAAATTATTTTTAACGAGAACTGATATTTATTTTAACACGGTGGGTTCCTTTTCCCGGCACATTGCACAGTCATGATTATTTCAGTTATAATTACTTTTTTATCCAGAAGGCAGTAAAACAAAAAAAAATGACGTAGCTTCGATTATTCAGGATTTTTCTAAAATTCTGTCACAGTCACAAAGGACGCGTACCAACGAGAAGAGGCGTTTGAATTCGCGAAGGGAATATCGCTGTCGACGTTACAGGGTTAAATATTACAATTTTTCAGTTTCACATTGCAGCTTCGGAACATGCAATGACAAAAATGCAAAGGCCGCAGTTTCGTGGTTTTATATCAAGAGTTTTAACGTGAAACAACCTGAAGGATTTATCGCGACCGCTTCGCTCAGCATTATCCCGGCTTCGGTAATGTGGCGCGATTGGTGACAGTTGGATTTGCGAATAAATCTCCGAAACTTTCGGGAGGGACTTCGAGGAGAGTTTTAATTTCGTAGTCTTGTTGGTTGGGCAGCGAAGACGACCGAGCGTTAACATTGGCTCGTGTGAGACAGTCGACGACTTCGAGGTGCTTCGAAATCGCGATTATTTTTACATTGGACGTCTCTGGTAATGTTTTCGTTGACAAGATACACGACTGCGATAACATCGATCGAAAGTCTTTTTGAAGTATATGCACCGGTTTTATAATAAAATAATAAAATTTGTAGGCTATTCTAGGATTACTTTTTAAATTAAATGAGCGCAAAGAGATTTATGAAAATAATTTTACGCGAATTTATCAATAAAAAAAATATTATTTAGATCAAACCTCGAAATACTGGCGACAGAGACTAAAATAATTTTATTTTATTCTGCATGAAACGTGACATGAAGATAAAAAAATTAAATAACATTTGAGATTAAATACAAATAAACGGAGAAACGATATTTTTTTTCCTTTGAATTTGGCACGAAATAAATATTTGTAAGCAACGCGATATTATCAACGACGAAAAAATCGTGCTTTTTCGCGATGTACGCGCGCTTTTATTAAACGCATTTCTCGGAGCTTCCTGGAAAACGCATACTCGTAGAATCGGCTGGATTATAATAGACAAGCGGCGCCACTCTAATTGCCAAAAACCGAGACAAGAGTTTCGTCATGCTCGAACAAATAAAGCAATTCAGCAATGGACAAGGTCAAGTCAATTAGTCGGCTTAATTCGGCCTTTTCTACGTATCGCAGTGGATTAATTGTTGGTACACTTTATAGAAACGCCACGAGCTCGCGTTCATAATATTTCGTTTCATAATATGATGCAATTGGCAACTTTGTACGTCTTTAACGAGCGATAACGTTATCAAACATCAAATTTGGGAAACATTATTAAAAGCTACCGAGCACTCCGAGAGATGAGAAAGCAGTAGTGGCTTTTGCATTGAAAAATAAACGGCATCTTTTCGCTTTAACTTTTGTGTGTTAAAGCTCGAGCGAAAACAGCTGACAGCCAACAAGAATCCGACAGGAAATTGCGAACAAAAATCTCAGATACTTTACTCAACTAAACATTGCTATTTTAACTATTTCTACAATCCTTTGGTTTCTTCCTCTCGCGAAAACGGAGATTTACAAACGAGAATGCCTGAAACTGAAAATTTCAGAATTACCATTGCGATCGCCGCGCGGCCTCAACAATATTAATTTCTGCGTGTTACGGCGCGGTGATGATCGCGACAGTTTGTCGCCTCTTCTTTTCCTGTTGCAGAATTTATCTGAGAGCGTTCCGCACTGTAAATTTATACAAAAATTATACACCTACTCATTTATTATTGCAAACGTGCAGATAAGGATAGAATATTTTTGGGAAATCTCTTAATTGCTGATGAATTTTTTTCGTAACTCACTGTAAATCATACATTAATCAAACCTGGACAGATTGCGAC